TTCATTTAGCTCCGTTGGCTAGAGCTGGTGCTGATAACACCAAGGTCCAGGGTTCTATCCCTGTACCGGACTGCTGTGAAGAAGACTAATTCTGGAGGCCCACCCTTTAACAGATGCTTTTGTAATTGGTTTGGGGTATGGCCTGAGCATCTGAATTTTTTAAAAAATGTTTCAAAGTGGTTCTAATGTGTGCCGGGACTGCGAACCTATGAATCACTGCAAACTATACACTTCACATCAGCAGCCTCTGGAACTTGTTAGAAATGCAAATTCTTGTCCTCTCCCTGCACCTACGGAATCAGAAACTCTGGGAATGAAGCCCAGCAGTCCATGTTTTAACAAACCCTCCAGGTGATTCAGAGGCACATTCAAGTCTGAGAACTATTGCATTGTAGTAATTCCCAACGGGTGGATGGAGATTTCAAGGAGGGATTACCCTTTACCAGGGCTGTGTGGTCGTGGACCTGGAGAGACAGAGGGTCAGGGGGGCCCAGCACCAGCAGGTGTATTTCATCTCATCTAAACCACCTCACTTTCTGCCTGGACTCCTGGAGGAACTTTCTGACTATAATCACTAATTTTACTCTTTACCTTCTCTAATTTGTTCTCCACGCTGTGGCAGAGATACCTTTTCTCCATATAGATCTGGGATCCCTGTGTCCTGACTTCCAGCCTTTTTCATCTTCAGCTCTTAGTCCTACATAGAAGCAGCATACTCCTGCCTGAGGCAGGGATGGCAGAGTCCGATGACTTCAGAGGCCAGGAGGCTGACACAGCTGAGGGACTCAACAGGAGATGATGTGGCCTGTGACAAATCAGAGTGTGTGTGTCCACTTAAAGCAATTAAGATTCAAAGTTAGTTAAAATAATGTCCTGGGGAAGCAAATGGCTGTGAGCTAGAACAAGGCAGGTTAGAGACTGGGGGTAGGGGATGGGTTTTACAAAATGAATAAATAAATAAATATACACTTCTTATACAAGACTCCTCAAACAGAGGAAGTTGATGAAGTTCTCATTCCCTCTTTGTGTAATCAGGATAAATTGGTAGTCATCTACAAATAACTTTCTAGTGTCTATTGTGTGCCAGGGGCCCAAGAGAGAATTGCTTTCTTTAAGTAGCTTCACATCTAAATGAGACAAAACCCACATGGGGAATGCAGTAGAATGGAATCAGTACTGTCTTTCCATTTCCACAAGGAAGGACTTTGATGCAATATGTGTTTATTAAAGCTGATGTTTACATGGTGAGTCCATAATTAAACCTTGAGGATTTAAAGCAACCTAACTCTTCAACCTTGACTTTGGACTTTCTAGGCTAAATGAAATGGGTAACATCTAATCTGTAATGTGCACTTACCATGTTCTGGATACTCTGCTGAGTGTTTCAGGGCAATGATCTTATTGAGTCCTCATGGCCGCTCAGTGAAGCAGGTATATTATTCCTGCTTTAGAGCTGAGAATATAGAAGCATAGGCAGGTGAAGGAACTTCCCAAGGTCACACAGCGCAACCTCCTGCCACAGAGCCAGGTCTTGAACCAGGTTTGAAGGACTCCACACTCTTAACCACTATCCTGTTCTTCACAGTTGAGGGCTCTAATTTATGACTTCATGCATATGGCACTGTGGCATTGACCTGGGTTGGACCAAAATGGATTTTAGTTTACTCAGATCTAGGGCAACCTGAGTGCATTGATGGTCCTCCAACCCAACCCCTTTATAGCTCAATCTTCCCTTGTCCCGTATTATTTACTCAGAATCTGATTTGCATTTGCAGAGAAAGCTGCAAGTGGAGAACCTGGCAGGAACCTTAATGAAGCCAGGTGGGACACATTTAAATGAGAATGTGTTGAACTAACTCATGA